TTCAGAAAACTGAAAGTTTCCTTTGTATAACTTTTAGGGAAAGGGAGTTCTGTACACATCAGTTCAAAAGCAAATGTAGTGAGAAGGTAGATGTTTGTAGCTGCTGTTTTTGTATCTTTTCTCTTTGTTATTCATTAGGAAGAACTATAACTTAGGAAAGAAAAGAAGAGGGTAAGAAAGAACTTGACTGATTTAAGCAAATTCAAGTCTCCCGAACCATACATTATATATTACAATAACAAAGTGCTAGTAGAATCACTCTCAGAAATCTTTAGGATCTCCTGGCAGTATTTTAGAATAATAAAGAAGACCAAATATCTTAATTTTTAAGAATTGAAGGAAACAACAGAACCATCAGCTTGATATCTGTATTGAGAAAGTTATTGAAAAGATTATTAAGATTATTAAACAACATGCTAGTATTTGATATGCATGCTACAATTAATGGAACTCACAAGAGGTTTCTTGCAAATAAGTCATACTAATTAATCTATATTCTTTGATGAAGTTACTAGTCTAGTTGATCGGGGAATGCTGTAGACATACTACAGTATATATGGCCATACCAAAGCCTAAAATAAAACCTCTTGGAATATTCTTCTTAATAAAGTGGCAAAATTTGCTCTACATTATATAGTAGAATCTCTGGTCATGAACGCTTCTGACCACGACCAAATTGGGTTCCGATCAAAAAATTCACATTTTTGAATCTGGTCACGAACACATACTCGAGTGGCGATCAAACACAGCTGCGGCCGATTTCCCCTTCTGTGCCATTTTTTTTTTTTTTTTGTAAGCACATGCTCAATCAGTCTCGCTTCCACTCACAATCAAATCGGGTTGCGACCAAAGTTATGGAATGAATTACGGTCATGACCAGAGGTTCTACTGTACTACTGTTAGATGAACTCAGTTCATTGAGTGAATGAACTCAACAGTGCATTTAATATTCATTTCAGATTGCAGAGCTTATTGACTCGGGGGCAGTGAGGCTCTGTCTTAGTCTTTGTGGAGTTCAACATTTTTATCAATGACTTCAATGAGAAAGAAATACTGAACAAGCATGCAGGTGTTATTAAGGTAGTTATTTGACTAATATTTTAAAGGGAGAAGAAAAAATTCGAAAGTTCCTAGATAGACTTGAATGTAGGGCTGAAATTAATAGGAAATGAATTTAACAGGAAGAACCAATATAAAGTTCAATATCTGGGTAGGGAAAATGAAAATTACAATGGAATGGTAGTAGCACATGTTAAAAGGAACAGCAATATTATTTAGCTGGTATAAAGACTGATGCTATCTTGTAATCCATTAACAAAAGGCACAAGTCCAGGTAACAGAAAATAACTATTCCACTCTACTCTGTCCTAGTTGGTTTCCATTTATCAATACTGTTTAATGCAGTTATTAAAAAAAGATTGTAAAAATTCAGAAGAAGGGTTACCAGAATAGTGAGATCTAGATACCAAGCCATATGACGAACATATAAAGAATCAGGGCATAGTTAGACTAAAGAAGAAATGCTAGAAATTGTAGCAGTTTTCAGTACCTGAAAGACTGATACATATAGAAGGGGAAGTGGATTTATCTTTTGTAATTTCAGAGGGCAAGACCAAAAGTAGTTGACTTGAGCTATGGTGGCGCAGTGGTTAGAATGCAGTATTGCAGGCTAACTCTGGCCACTGCCAGGAGTTCGATCCTGACTGGCTCAAGGTTGACTCAGCCTTCCATCCTTCTGAGGTCTGTAAAATGAGAACCCAGATTGTTGAGGCAATATGCTGACTCTGTAAACCGCTTAGAGAGGCTATAAAGCACCACGAAGCAGTATACAAGTCTAATTGCTATAGCCATTGTTCTAAGGAAGTAGGCTCAAGATAGATTTCAACAATTTCTGAGGGCATGAGCTGTCAACCAGCAGAACAAGCTGCCATGGAAAGTTCTCAGTTCTTTTTCACAAGAAGTTTTCAGAGGCTGGCCTAGTAGATTTTACACTGAGCAGGGAGATAAACTACATAATGTCTAAGGCCCACTCCAACCTTATGATTCTATGAAACTAGATTTCTATTTTGTAAAATGTAAAAATTAAAAACAATGTGCAGACACTACATTTATACAGATATAATTTTTGCTGTCAGGAAATATATATTTCATAACAGATGCAGAAAAAAGTTAATAGCAGTTCATTTTTGGATTCGTTAAGACGAAGTATCCTTTGAGTTAAGCTTCACTGAGTAATTTCACAGACACATCCATGCTGTTTTCTTGGTGACAATACAGACATGGGTAACCATTGTTTTCTTCTGGGGTTTTATTTTCAAATCCCCAGTCTAGCTTACAACTTTTAGACCCTCTCATCCAAGTACTATTTAATTATGTTCTTATATAGATTTTCAAACGTTGGACTTCAGGTATAGAGTTACTTAATAGTGAGATGAACAGCCTATAAATAATATAATAAATGGTAAATAAATAAATAGTTACCATTTCCACCTAAGTTTTATTCTAATTGCTCTCGTCAGTCCTGTGATTCAAACCAAGTCATGCATCATTCTTTTATGCCCCTATCAATTATAGTATAAGTATTGAATATATGAAGGTTCTAGTACATGGTGAATATATGAAGGTTCTAGTACATGGTGGATAAAACGTTAGTGCACTTAAAGTCCACTGGAAAGAAGAGCTGACATCTGCCCTCATTGCAAATGACAAAATCTTTTGTAAATGCAACTTCAAAAGAATTCAGAGGTTCCCAAGAGCAATGCAATAGTTAAGCGAAACCATATATATTTTTACTGTAATTTCTATTTCACTAAAAGTTGCGCCCCAATATCTTATATTGGCATAAGTCTCCCTTTATGCACATACAACACTTTTAAGAAAAGGGAATGGAACTTCAATCATGTGGTTTGCATCCTGCCATCCGGATTTTTGACTCCTCCTATGGGTATCTTTTCCCCCCAGAGATTTTGGGGGTTTAGTGTATGAAGCTGAAAAATTTACTTGAAGACAAACCACTTCTAAAGTCAAGAAAACTATCAATTTGTCCATGTGGTCACCAGGAGCTGACATTTTTTCTTCTTGCTTTTCTTAATAAAAAGAACACATTAAACCAAAAATTTAATTTGGAGAATGTTTATTTTGAGTTAATGCACGGGGCTTGTATGTGGGATGTGTACCTGTTTAATAACGTTAAGAGTGTTAAAAAGACTAAATGGCTGAGCTCTGCAAGTCACAAATGCTTAACTGGTGTTGACAAATCTCAAGAGTATCTAGGAGGTCAGAGAAGGCTACAGGGAAACCCACTTCATAGCATCTATTGAAAACAAAATGAGAAAGATCAACATTTTGTCAGATATGTAGGGACTCCTTGTGCTGTTTCAGAGCAGGAGATAGTTGAAGATGAACTGTGGGATCTTAAAAGTTTGGTTGTTCTGTGTTCTGGCTGATACAAAGTGGCTTTTGAAAATTTTATCTTCAGATTTCTTAATATTCTTTTTACTTCTGATGTAAAAGACTATACGTGTATTCCATTCAGAGCACTGAAACAAACCATATCCTCAAAGATGCTATAAAACTTTGCTGAAGACCATCAGTAACCATCCTTCTAAATTTTATTTAAAGAGATTATGTTTATTAGTGTATTGCAGTGGTGGTATTCTACTGGTTTGGCACAGTTCTGCAGAGCCAGTAGCAGCGATGAACAGTGGAGACTGATCCGGTTCTCTCTGCCGCTCTACTGTTGGGCCCACCTACCCGCCCAGGCTCCCATACTCACCTTTATCTGCTGAATTTGAAGCGCAGCTGCTATCCTCTTGCTGGATCCAGGCCAAGGCCCATCATAGTTTTAACACTTGATTTCTCGTCAAGGCCAACCAAGTACTGCTAGGTTATTTGTAAGAAGAGGCAGAGATACCCTCCTCCCACCCGTGACCCCTGCAACTAAGTGCAGTATGGAGCCATTCTGTTCAAATTTGAAGTTAACAGTGAATCTTAAAGATCAAAGGCATTTGATAAACCCATTCTCCATTAATTTATCCAGTACAACACTGTTTCTTTGTTACTGTGCTGATTCACTTCCTATTTTTCCTTTATAATTTTCCCTGTAACACAGGGCTGTCAAACTTGCGTCCCATGGGCCGGATGCGTCACGCGCTGGCCACACCCACTCCTGGTTTAGCGAAGGGGGAAAAGTCCCGATACATCATGTGATGCCGCTATGACAATGCGAGTTTGACACTCCTGCTGTAACTTCATTAAACTGTCATTAAACACTACTTCACCAATATTATTTCATGGCTCAAAAGAATTTATGGACATAAATATGATATAGGCTGATGTTTTGTTTTGCAATATTAATCAGAAAGAATCTTTGTAAAAAGTCAAGCAGGCAAGAAACTCCAAAAGAGGCAGTCAGAGTTCACACCAAAGTTACCAGACACCCTGTTGTTTATTCTGGGTTCAAGGTTTTGATATTACAGTGAGTTCCACTGAGACTTAATTAAAATAGCAATTATGGGTTTTTTTGCTGGTAAATTGTAGGCAAGTTATTGTGATAAAATAATCTCCACACAAGATGGTGATGGCCATGGGCAAACCATTTGGGATTGCAGAAGCCAGATGTCACTGGGATTCTATTTTAGTTATAATGAGGCAATACATTTTTACTATTTCAGATGAAATAATTTGTCCTCAGTGACTTCTTATAATTTTTATAAAGAAAATTATTACTGTTACATGAATCACTACTATATGAGATAAATCCTAAAATTAAATAAATCTCACTGTATTTCAGATAGGTGTTGAAATACCAAACACTGCATCCAGAGACACATGAAACTGACATAATTAAAAAAATATCTGAATTTCAGTAATTAAGAAATCAGTTCCTCTTTTAATACCTCAAATCTATTATTAGAAGCAAATAAAAATATTTACTATCAGTATAAATATTCACATTGCTATAGGTGTAATTCGGAAAAACAAACCAAGACAAAAATCCATAGTAACCTTTTAACATTTATTGCTTGGAGGTTTTATTGTATTTAAGAATGTGGAAGATACATGCTGAGCTAGAGTTATTATATTTCTATCCATTTGAAATATCTTAGTATCCAAACAACCAGCTCTAAAAATCTTCCAATGTACATAAAGTTATATTTTCTTTGAACTAATAACAAACTACCATTAACATCAATTGTAACAAAACAAAAACATTATTGCCATGGATGTTGTACAGGCAGTTGAAGGATTTAATTCATTTTGTGTATAATGTGGAATTTAGTTCAGCCAGTCCTTAAAGTTGTCAGTTGTTTGTGAAGGTATACTATCAGAGGTTCAGCATCTGCTTATCTACATAATAGCAGCAGTAAGTTAATAACTTTTTCCAAAATATCATGTAAATTCTTATTTTCTACATATCCATTATATTTCATATACGCAATAGCACTCAAGTGTATATTTTAATGCTTGTACTTACTAAATATATATTTTGGCTCAAACATTTTATTTCTGTGATATAAGAATTGAAAGCTAGGACCTAAATTGCTTTGAATATAAATCAAAGATTCAAGACTATGTAATATGATTACTGATATTTGACATATCATTATAATATTCAAATGTAACAATGCATACAGCATGTCTGATGACTTGAAAACCTACCTTCAAAGGTTTCCTTAACAATTTGGACCAATCAGATCCTTACAAATCTGACAGTTTTTCAGGAATTAAAAAACTGCAATAAATTTGGTACAAAACTAGCACAGAATTTCATAAAAATATAGCTTTCTTTGAATTACCAGTAGCTTGGCTCCTGATGGCTACTTAGAAAGGTCCACATAATTATTTTCATGAAAATATAGAAATGGTTTGTTTGCCTTCTTCCAGGATGTGATCATTTTCAACTATGAATTATGAGGTTATTTGTTACATTACTAATTAAGACATTTGTGCAATTCTTTAGGACAAAACGATTATTTTTTTAAAAAGTGAGATAATATAATCAAATATTACAAAATTAAAAGAAATCCTTATAAACCTTCCTGATTCTAGCTTTCTAAGACATGTAGCTACTACAATGAAGTAACAAGCTTTCACTAGTTTTCCTTAAAAGAAAATTAAAACCAAAGGCCTTAATTACCTTTGAATGACATATTTTGCTTTTACACCAACTGGATCTCACCAACTCTCACTCCATTTAAGTTTCCCCTTCACTAAAAAGTGTGGTCAACTAAATACTTCTATTAGAATCAGGAAGCCTGCACTAGAATAGAGATGAAATCATTGATAGAAATGTTCAAATATGTCTTATATTGTACTTGGAAAATAAGTCAGGTGAGGTTTGCTTCTTTTATTATAGTTAGTAGGATCACAGAAACAATACAAGACACCATGTTCTGTGGGATTAATAAAAATTAAAGCATTTAACCTCTGGTTACAAGAAACAAACTACAAAGTATTTTCATTTGTTTTAGGCAAGACTCTAGATCAGGGGTGTCAAACTTGCGGTGTCACGTCATCACGTGATGTAACTTTTTTCCCCTTTGCTAAAATGGGGGTGGGCGTGACCAGTGTGTGACGCATACGGCCCGCAAGTTTGACACCCCTGCCCTAGATGGATGTTACTTCTAGGTATATATATTGTGCTAATTTCTCTTAATGTGAATAAGTGCTAATAATGAACCACGCTCTGGGAAACAGTAACCAACTTTACTTCAAGACAGAACCCAGCAACAAAAACATAATGGACAAGAATGCAATGAGAAATGATTTAAGGTATACTTGATAAACATTTTACTTTAAAGATTGAAACAAAACCATTTAAAGCAGCAACTTAATTTGTTTCAACATATAATACATAATTATACAATTCATTTAGCTGAGATAAGTTATTTTAAGTACTTCATTTATATAAACAGAAAAAGCAGTAGAAAGTGTGCAAACAATGATGCTCCAAAACAATAAATTTTGAACGGCTATGATAAAGTAACAAACTTGTACTTGTAACAGCTACTGATTAAAAAACAGACTCTGTCCCTGTCAGATGACATGTTCTGCTAGTCAAACAGAAGAATACAAAGTAGACTGGCCTTAGTCTCTTTTAAAAAAATCATAAATCTAGAAAGGGTTTTGTAAAGATGCTATATTTTGTATAGAAGAGTAGAAAGAGAGTTTCAAAAGGCACTTTTGAATTTAAGACAAGTAAGGAATGATTTCATAGAAAGTTAATAGTACAACTTAAGACTCCTTTCCTTAAGTGGTTCCTTTATAATGATAAAAAATGGATTCAGCTCATAATTGAAACTCGACCTCTAGTGTTTTTTAAGCATACAATAGAAAGATCTAGGTGTAAAAAATGGCATTTTTTGTAATTCCACACTGTCAGTGAGTCACTGATTTTGTGAATGAAGCTGTTTAAAAGCCTTAATGTTTTTTTTAAAAAAATACTTTTTGAACACCGTTACATGAAAAAGAATCTGTAGAGGTTTAATACATTTATATAAAATATCAGGTATTTTATCAGGTATAAATCATGAGCATCTCCTTTGGAAAATTTCTCACCTACTTGCCACAGTTACCAAAGATCACAAATATTCATATCAGTGCAAATCTATACTTCCCTACTACAGAAAACCATTCACCCTTAAATACAAAACATTTTGATTCTGAAATGACAAGTTAATTTGGTTACAATCCATCCACCCTGCCAAATTATTATCGTATTCATTATTGGAGAAAGGGGAGGAATTAAAGCTGCTTGTGCAAGTATCACTACAAACAGTCCTTCTTATAGAAAAGCTTCTCGATTCTCCAGGATAGAGAAGATCCTGGGCTGAACAATGGATCTCGGCGGGTGGTTTGATTACTGATCTTCGAGCCAAGAAGGAGCATCCACTCCAGGTATTTTCAATTTGATATGGAATAGTTTAAGGGTCTGTTCAAGCTGTTTCTGATTTCCTGAAAAATAGGCTGCAATGGCATTGTGGAACAGAACAAGCTGATTGTGCAGCACCTTCACCTGTGGAGAAAGATCAAATTGAAAATGAAAATATATGTACAGAATATTGAAAGCTGATACCCGAGGAATAATGTGTGTGTGTATAATACACACACAGTGAAATGATCAGATTAAAAACAAAAAAAAATCAGATTCAGCGACAAAAGCAAATATCAACTACCATTAATACTGACAGCCAAATTAAATGAAGAGGCTGTGTATGATAAATATAACCTTACCTGCATAGCTGCACATAACTGACTATACTGACATGACCTGCTAAGCATAATTTGGCTTAGTGACAGATGAGCAGAACCCTGCCACAGGCTCTTCCTGTGAGTGGGTGCACTGAATGAACTATGAATGACATAAATCATAGCTAATTTGGAGGGCTATGTGTGCAATCTTGCTTATTTGTAGTCATCCATGTTACATCTTATCACCACACACAAATACGCCCATTGTTTTGTTTGCTTGTTGCTCCAAGAGTTAGGGTTGTTCATCAACACATTAAAAAGATCGTTTGATTATTTTGTCCAACAGATACGCTGATCAGGTGTCTGTTTTATCAGTTGCATCTGTTTGTTTTCTGATTACTGTATTTAATTATCAACAACCATGCATCAATTCAAGAAAATATTGGCGTAAGCTTATCAGTTGGATAGAGATATGTAAGGATAATTTGTAAATAACAAAATTGTACCGATTACTTCAACACATCGCTATTATCATTCAATAAAGTTTTAATTCAGCCAAAGAAAGTAAAGACAAAAATATGAATAGTGGATACATAGATCTATAATCTATACACAAAATAGTGTCTATAATAGTGAGAGCCACTATAATATACACAGGTAGTCTTCAACTTACAACAGTTCATTTAGTGACTGTTCGAAGTTACAACAGGACTGAAACAGATTTATGACAGTTTTTCACACTTATGACCATTGCAGCATCCCCATGGTCACATCAGAATGCAGATGCTTGGGAACTGACTCATTTATGACGGTTGCAGTGTCCTGAGGTCATGTGATCATCTTCTGTGACCTTCTGACAAGCGAAGTCAACGGGGACTTAACTGTGTTACTAACTTAATTTCAGTGATTTACTTAAGAATTATGGTAAGAAAAGTCAAATGGGGCAAAACTCTCTTAACAAATGTTTCATTTAATCATGGAAATGTTGGGCTCAATTGTGGTTGTAAGCCGACTACCTGTAATTTGAATATTTGGGTAACACTAAGGAAATCTAGATATAAAACCCCACTTGATCATGAAGCTTGCTCTTTAGGCTCTTGGCTAGTCATTGGTTAGGATCATATATCATTAAGTCATTACGTGGGTTATTTTTTTGATGGGGTAGATTTTTACCTAATATATGTTGTAATATTGAATAATAAACAAGCTAGATTCTCCTGTGTCTTATTCACCAGATTTACTGAAAGGACAAAAATGATGTTACAAAAATCTTTGTAAAATGAATATATTTACTTTACTATCTCAATTATCTTTAAATTGGTTAGGATACATAATCCTTGATCTTCTTGACAGTTTCCTTTTGGAACTGTCTGCCTGCTTTTGTGATACAGAAGAAATGTACTTAACTTTTAAAATTTTGCACATGTACTAAATACTGAATGTTTTCCAAACTGTAACCTCTTTTCCCAGCTCTGAAAAGTGCACTGCAGTATCATCAATGGGAACCAACACATTACCATCAAAACTCCCTTAAAATTCAGGCCCAATCTACTAAAAATAAATTATTTATTTATTTATCCAATTCATATGGCTGCTCGTTTTAACAAGTGACTCTGGGCAGAGAGCAAAGTTAAAATAAAATACAATTATATACATTTCAAAAGTTAAAATACAAAGCAGTTGATCAAGATCAGCCCAAATAACTAGAGTAACCAAGAACTGAGTTCCAGAACCAGGTCTTCAGGGCCTTACAAAATACCTGCATGGTCAGGGCCATCTCCAGAAGATGTTCCATAAGGTGGGTGCTACAGCAGAAAAGGCACATCTAGGCCCTGCCCACTGATGTTCTTTGGCCAATAGGATCCCAAGCATGCTTAACTTGCCTAATTGGATTGGATGGGTAGAAATAATTGGGGAAAGTGACAAGATAAGACATAAGCCTAGGAAACTCCACTGCCAACCCAGCCACACAGTCAAACAGCTCAGGCAGGGAGAGTATGCAGCAGGAGGGTACATACAATAGCAACAATCCTATTAATCCCTAGAGCCCAAATTAACAAATAGGATCTTGCACCTAGCAATTTCAGTGGCTTAAAAGATGCTGGTGAAGGCCTATACTCTGGCAGCTCAAGCCCTATCCCTGCATGGAGTGAGCTCCCATCATTTGCCTCAGCTCCTGCCAACCTAACAGTTCGATGTAAATAGATAAATAGGCAGCATGTAAATAGATAAATAGGCAGCATGTAAATAGATAAATAGGCACCATTTCAGCAAGAAAGCAACAGGGTTCCATGTTTTGCCACATGCTCTGTACTGCGGCGTGATGCCACATGATTGCAGAAACATCTTTAGAAAAAGCTGGTTGAATGGCTTAGAAATGGAGAGGAGCATCGCCTATGACTAATGGAATACAACCCACAGGGACTCCTTTATCTTTGCTATTTTACACAACAATTTGTATCTGTGGGACAGTGTTTCTGGGTGCCTCCCAAGTATTTCAGATGACTACTGCCGCGTTACTATCTCTATTGTGTGGTCTTGGCTAATCTCACATCTGGAACCCAGCTGATCTCACATCTGGAACCCAGCTGGGCACATATTAGAAAGGGGACTGCTCAACTTGGGCACAGCCAAGTTTCAGTAATACATGGTAGATCAGCTTTCTCATCCATAATCAAGCCATCAAATTATGAGCCTATATTCAGGTTTACCCAATGTCATACTGTCATTTCCGAGCATGTTATTATAAAAAAATTAACCAATAAAGACATGATACTGCTGTCCTATATATATAGTATTAGACCTGTCCTATTTAGACAGACCCTGGATTAGATGTAATCAATGCATATTTTGGAATTTTTCACATTATCAATACCTAAGCACCCGGGTCAAAAAAAATCTTTTTTTTTTCTTATTGAAAATAAGGTATTTTAAAAAAAGAAAGCTTATGTAACCCTGAAGAACAAGAGGCAGTAATTGTTATATTTCCCATTATATTTCTCTTGATTAAGCCAAGGAAGAATATGTGCATCCTCTAATAAATCAGACTGAAAAGAATTTCCCAGAGAACTGCAAGTACCTGAAAATGCTTGATTGCAAATCTCCAGCCTGCTAGCATAACTCAAGGGAAATCTTCATGTCAGGCCAATCTGGTTCAATCCAGACACACTGCCAACTTCCTCACATGACTAACATTTCTATTGTCTCCAATCTCCATTTTCAAGTCTTAAGATCAAACCTCATAGAAAATCCTTTCAATTCTTCAGTTGAACTTTTTAAAAACCCACTCTCAACCACAGCCTGGATGTCTTGACTGCTTTGCAACCTTTGTTTGAAACCTTAAAAACAGTAATTTGAGCTGAGATTGAAAGAAAAAAATAGTTTTTCAGGACATTATACTGGAATGTTTCAGTGTTCCTTATTCTGAAGGATGAGCTGGAGATTGGTCGATATATCACCTATCATCCCCAACCAAATTCATGATCAAGTTAAAATGTTACAATGTAATTACCCATCCCAAAGTTTTCAATAGTTTAGATTACAAGATTTTATTAAGCATACTTTCCAACTGTATAAACCAGAGGTATTACATAAATGTTGCAACACATCACACTAAGACTAAGTGTGGAAAAAGGTCTTGAAGTGAAGTGTTCATAAATCAAATAAATAAAAAATGTTTATACTCCTTAACTACCTACTTCTTCCATAATTCTTGCTAGTCCGTGTCTGTTACATCTACAAACTGGGAAAGCAGATTTGTGTGTGAAATACGTGGGATGGCTATACTTAAAAGTAATTTGCAATTACAATAATCAGACAGCAAACCTAGGCACCACTATGTTTTACTGACTGAACAGGATTTTAAAATCCAGTTTTATGAATTAGACATATGTATGCAGTTATAATGTATTATGCAATTAAGACATATCCCATAATAGTTCTGGCAATACTTCTACATACCTACAAAACATCAGGAAAAAAAAACACAAGTGAAAAGCTTGTAGTGACTTTATAGAGTTACATTCCAGGCAGTTAAACAACTGGTGCCTCCATAATGTTGGCTAACTGGTGATGAAAGATGAATGGTACTATTAACAACCTAGACAAACAGGACATAAAATGATAGCACAGCAAAAAATTGAATCAATTCAACTGTTCCAACATTTTAATCTTTTGTTTCCATTACAGGTGAAATAATTTTCATGGCATCAAGTGAAAGTTTCCTATTCTTTTTAGCTATTTCAAGTTGTTGATACCCTCATAAAGTCCCACTTACATTGTTCCTCTTAGACTGTACTAACTAGTAACTCAAAATATTATGTGTGTGTGTGTGTGTGGGTATGCACCCCGTTTCCCTGAAAATAAAACCCTGTCTTATTTTATTTTTTTTGCCACCAAAAAGGAAAACCAGGTCTTATTTTCAGGGTGGATGGGATGGGATGTCGTCCACTGACTCACCTCACTTGCGCGCGTCGCCCCCTGCCTCCTTTTCACTACCAGAGGCCTTCAGGACTTTCCTTCAGCTTTGGATAGTTGCACCTTGGCTCATTTCTTCTGCAGCCAGCAAGGCTTTCCTGAAGGCTCTGTAACCAATAACAGAGCTCCGGATCGATCCGGAGCTCTGTTATTGGCTACAGAGGCCTTCAGGAAAGCCTTGCCAACAGAAGAAAAGGGCCGAGGTGTGCGATGCCTGGCTGCAACTATCCAAAGGTAAGTAGTAGGACAGCTCCACTATCCCTCATCCCCATCCTAGCTTAATTTTTACCCATGCACCCTGGAGTGGGCGGGGTCTTAATTAGGGCATTTTTGGGGATGGGATTTATA